GGTTCCGTCACTACAGTAATTGTTAATGCCCCTCAAAAGTAGGAGATTCTGTTTGAAAAATGCAACTTACAGGTTACTTGGTTTTTCTGGCCACTCATATAATCTAAATATAGGCAATGATGACCATGTTTTTATCAGCAGAATCAACTGCTGATTTAGAGCCCAGGATATTTGAGTTAGTGGGTGGGTGAAGCTTTTAATTGTAATTATAATTATGCAAATTTAAATCTGTGCAACTCAAAACATTGGTAAATTCCAACAATATGGAGTATTTCAAAACATAAATTCTCACTCCAAGTAAGCTTTAAAACACTAAAAATAACATACTCCCAGAGCTGACAAAGACAAAAATTAACCATGTTCATGTTATTGTCATGGTTTTACTTGGTTCCCCACCAATGACAGACTTGGTCTTAATTGGGCATTGTCTTTAGGAATCATCTCGTACAAGGATCAGGAATCTCCTTTCTGAATGACACAGACTGTAATATCATAAGCTTGGCTTGTGGTCATTGAGACTTAGATCAAAATCAATCTTGTATATTCCACCTTCATGTAAATATAAATCACCTTTCAACAGAAAATAAATGACTCCATAGACTAAGTACTTTAAATCCATCTGACAGTCTTGACATAGAAAGAGTGTTAGTGTGAACAAATATTTTTTCTCAGTGACCCAGACATTTCTGTACATCACACCAAATGTTTCTATAAGTACTTGAACTGATTATAGAATATGGATTCATGTCAGAGGGGTGGGAAGGGAATAGAGGGAGAGAAAGAGAAGCCTTTTTAAGGGCTAGGATTGCTAAGCAGTTAAGACCACTTGGCTACTCTTCCTGGATCCAGGTTTGGTTCCCAGCACCCACATGACAGTTCACAAACATCTGTAACTCTATTTCCAGAGGATCTGGTACTCTCTTCTGGCCTCTGCAGACACCAAGCACACACATGGTACTCAGACATCCAGGCAGGCAAAACTTACCCATACACACAAAATAACGAAAATAATGACTTGGAATTTTAAATCTTCTGTTCCTGCCACCCATTTCCTTCTTGCACAATGCCCAACTCAACCCAATCTTTATTTATCCCAATTTAGATGCTTCCTACCTGGGGGTAAGGAACCATTTCTGAAGGGCATACCAGCCAGAAAAAGATGCAACAAAAGTCAAATGTGTTATCTTGCACAGAGAGAACTGGGGCTCTGAATACAGTTTGAGAGCCCATGTCAGCTGGATCATGCTGAACTCCTGCCCATTTCCTGAGCTCGTGTTCTTGTTGGATAGGACAAAATGCTAAGGTTGAGGTATACGACAAGTATGTCACATCTTCTTGCTTAAAACAACTTTGATTATAATAGAAATCTTATTCAGATACAGAAGAAACTTTAAATGATTGCAATTAACTAAGGAATTAACCTACTTTCTCCCCAAACCAAATGGGGAATAATCCAGGTATTCTCAGCAATCTACATATAAATGTTTTCCTAAATAATAGCTTCATTTTTTCCAGTGTAAATCTGAGTAACTTTTGGGAGAGGGTTTGGCAGGCAAACAGCCAACAGTCTCAGCTGAGCAAGACACAGCTTTGCAAGGACCTTTAAAAGAAGTTAAATTAATTTCTGATAGGCATAAAGAAGGAGACAGTGATTTGAGCAAATCTAGACCAGTTACAGATAAAAGAAATCCCCAAAGTGCTTCGTTTGTGTCACTAATAAAAATGCACAATGCTTGACTTGCAAAAGGCTAGTTCATCCTATGTGGCAACATTCTACAGATTCTAGTTTGCTAATTTTTCTAGAGATTTTTCTAAATATGTTATGCCCAAAATGTGGTTTAGAAAATAAAGTATGAGTAGGAAAATTAAGGAATGAGAGAAAGAGCAGATAGGAGGAGGGTAGGGATATACCCTACAGTGTTTTACCAGGGAAGGTTTGTCCAGTCAATATAAAAGAGCAATAAAATGGAATATCATTTCCTCAGGTGTAGAAATTAGCTTGAAAAGCCATCTGGGTATTTGTCTCCAATAAGGATCATAAAATAATAAACTAATGGATGAATGTTTCAATGTGGTTAAATAAGGACCATTATGTACATGTTAATTGATGAGCTTCAGGGATCCATGAACATCACAAAGCTGCCTAGAAACATCTTTGTGTAGACATGCACTTCCTTTTGTAGAGCAAAAGTTTCTCATGTTCACCACATTCATGCAAATGTTCTATAAAATTTGCTTCACCAACAAACTAACACTTATAACTTAGCACATCACTTTTTATTTAATATATTTTCCTCCTCTCAGATTCAAAACCAATGTGCATGTGTGTGCGTTCAGGAAAAAAAAAGCTTAATGTTGCCAGATCTTATCAAGTTCTATTTGTGTTAAGCATAGTATTTCTAAGCATAACAAGGGTCTCTGCCATAAGAAACTCAAGATGTTTTTACTTTAAATATTAAGTATTTTTTATATTTTATTTTTAAATTTAAATTAGAAACAAGGTTGCTTCACATGTCAATTCCAGGTCCCTCTCCCTTTCCCTCCCCTCCTCCTGCGCCCTCCCACCAAGCCCCCCAGTATTCCCTCATTTCCCCCAGGGATCGTGAGGCCTTCCATGAATATTAAGTATTTTTATCCACTAGGCAAATGTTTTTTGTCACCAAAGGAATGAGAATTTGGAGATATAGATATATGAAATGTTTATGAAAGGGAGACAATATTTTGTTCCACCCAACATTTTACCACTGACCTTAGTTGAATTATTAAATAACCAGTTTCATTCCAAATATTAGAAATGTTACCATCCTGAACATATTTCTGTATTTCCAGCAATTGTAACATTGATATATTGACAAAAATGTTTTCAGAAAACACTTGAAATATATTTTCCTCAAATTAGTCCATAAAAAAACTGATCCCTCATAACTAGCTATCCTTTGGGGTAAATGATTATCAGTTTTCTTGCCTGATTTCCACAAGGCCTTAAATTGCTGGAACATTCTAGATACCTAGCCTAGAACCACTCCCTCCATAATGACACTGAATGGATCTTGGAGGAATGTTCACTTAGTCTGTTACTTTGATGTGAATTCCCACTGACAGAAGCTTTGCTCAAGAGTAAGAATTTAGAAAGTTTTATTTTCCTTTCCATATTTGGGGTTCTACCCTGAGCCTTGTGGATGCTAGGCAAGTGGTGTATCACTAGGCTGCATCCCCAGATCAGAATGGGTCTAGATCTATGCTCGGAGGTTGTGTTTCTCAGTGTATGTGATTGTACAAATCCCCCACACTTTTATGACAGCAAATTCTCCCCAAAAGAGGCATGCAGCATAAAGTCTGCAGTTCAGCTTTTCTCTCCCAAATACCTTTTAAGAACTTGCTTAATAGTTGCAGCAAGTAGCACTGGTAAGGCTTTTCCTTCACCTACACCCAAACAGACTTTGTAAGAAATCTGGTGTCAGGGTAGGAAGGGGCTCCTGGAAACAAGAGCCACAGGATGTTTCACTGTCCTCTCCTTAGAGTTGGCCTGTCCTTAGAGTTTCAAGAATAATCCTCTGGGTCCTCCCCATCTACCAAAAACTACTTGGACCCAGGCTTCATCCCTCTCCCATTTAACATTAGAGCATACAAAGAACTCACAACCCTCCTACCTTGACCAAAAGTCATTCTTTTCTCCACATGTTTTTGATGGAGATGTAAAACAATGCCTATTAATATTCAACCAGCATTTTGGATTCTTTCTTTATGATTAAAAATCAAACTATGAGAAAAAAAATCCCTCTTCTGTAACTTAGAGCTGATTAAGACCCTGTGAGACTGGTGCACTCAGATTTTAGAAGGAAAACAAGTCATATGAGTCCAATAAAATCTCCTACCAATCGAGCAAACACCAAATCCCAAACTATTACTTGTCACTGGGAAGCAGTTTCCTGACACAAGATAAGATGACAGCCAAAGGACAAACAAAAAAGTCAGATGATCAAAGTTTTTATCTTATTTTGTTTTGTTTTACATAAATTCATATTTATAGATGTGACACAAAATTTCAATTATGTCTTTTGTAAAAACACTTTTGGACCCATCATAAAAACAACTCACTTTAACATTGTTCAGTTTAACCCAGTACAATACCAAATTGAGCAAAAGTAAGTTATTCAACGATGCTTAAAACATCACTTTAAATTGAATCTGGGGTTCATTGTTTCTCTTATGGAGATTGGTTTCCAATGCTTCCCTTTAATATGTTAGATTGAATCACACATACAATGCTGACATTACAGATATTTTTAGATGAAAATTGCAGTGTCTTGTGACTTGAAATAATTGCTTATGTATGTTAGGAAACAACTCTGAATCTCCTTATTTCAACTGAATGCAACAGGTGTGTAAGGAGTGTCATGGTGCACACATGGCACTTTACTCAATAGTGCAGGATACAATTATACAGAAAACCATCTGACCAAAATGGTTACTTTTATGATACTGGTGTTGCCGGGAGCTGCTGTTTAGCCAACCAGCTATGGTTAGAACACACAGACCCATATCGCAGCCAGCAGTGGATCCAAAAAACCCCTACTGACTTTTTTTTAATAGCCAGGAATTGGAAAATTTTAACTTTCAATGTTTTACAAAGAAAACTGAACTACTAGGTAGATACGACACTTCTTACAATCAAAATATGGCTTCCAACATTTTGACTAATGGTCCAGTCTTTCTCTGTTAGCCCCTTCCCTTCTTCATGGTTGTGAGGTGTGAAGGGGATTAATATCCCTCTTGTGAGTTGTGGGGTTTGGGCAGGTCATGTGGACTTTCTGGGGGTGGAAATTCTACTAATGAGTTTTCTACAAATGTCACTCAGTATTTTATTCCTTCATATCTCATTACCTCCCCCACGCTCAGTAATTTTAGTTTGTGCTTTTTTTTTCTCTTTTTGTTTATTTGGTTTGCTGGCTTTGTGTTCTTTTCTCCTTTTTTCCTTTTCTTTTCCTTTTTTAATGCAGGGATCGGCCAAGGGGTTCCAGTGGTGGCACTCATAGTGGAAGGAGGCCCCAACGTGATCTCCATTGTTTTGGAGTACCTTCGTGACACCCCTCCTGTACCAGTCGTGGTCTGTGATGGGAGTGGACGGGCATCCGACATCCTGGCATTTGGGCACAAATACTCAGAAGAAGGCGGGTAGGTAAATTACCAGGCCCCATGGTAGAGTCCTGAGTACAAACCTTGTGTTTAAAGCTTGGAAAAGGGGGCATCAGAGCATGTTCTCTGCAGTTCAGGCAAGACCTCCCATTCTAACTAGCTATAAACAATTATCTAAATATTGACTGTGGGATGGTGGAGAGGAATAACAGCGGACATCGTTGAAAATGCCTCTGCAGTAGGAAATCCATGATTACTACATTGAGACCACATGAAGATGATGGGGAAGAAAGGAAGTTAAAGGATGTGTTATTTTATCTTTATTTCTTCTTCCCTCTTCTCCCTCAAGGAAGGAGAGACAGGCACTGAGTTATGATAAATGAAGAAAACAGAATCTGAGTAACAGGGCTGGGTGGCCTCTGAGAGAAGCTGGGTACCTTTGGGCATGAGTCTAAATACCATCATGGCCAAGCTACTGTAAACACATTTGGAAGACTGTGTTAGCAAATATTTCTCTATGTCCTGGAAGGTAAAACCTCTGTAATTGGTAACAGCCCTGGTCCTTTGTGAATTTCTCCCAGAGCCCCTCTCTCCCCTATATATTTTGCTTGAACTACCAGCTCTTAAATTCTGCCCACTAAAGCCCAAAGCTCTGACCTCCCTGGGAGGAGGTCTCTCCACCAGTGGCATAGTAAGGTCCGAGCACTCTTGAAGATCATGAAAGTCATTGTGGGAATGAGTTTAAGGAACACAACCAGTGGGGAGTCACTTAACTTATGCTTTTTGTTGGTGTCGTTTTGGGTTTTTTATTTGTTTGTTTTTGAGAATTTCATATGAAGAACTACAGAAAACTAATGGCTGCTGAGAGAGGGAGAGTTGGTCTTCTCCATGGACAGGCTTTCTGATAGGTTACCAAATCCCCAGTGGTCAACCCTAAGTACACACACACACACACACACACACACACACACACACACACACACACTCACACACACACACACACACACACACGAGTCATTAAGTTAAACAAAAAGCAAAAACTTCTTACCCAATTTTTCTAGCATGTGGTTAGGTTAGGGTGATAAAGTTCCACAGGAGATAGGGCCTACCCAGTGGAGGACACTCCCTCTTCCACCTCCCTCCTCCCCAGGAAAGAGATTCCACATGTTAGCCAGTACCATCTCTCTTTTCCCCATCGTAAATCCTTGCTTTGGCAGGCCCTCCAGTCAGCCACTGAAACAGCCACACATGTATACTGGAAGCAACATGTGTGAAGGGGAGAGTAATGGAAGGCTGATGACTTCTAACCCAGCACTGAACACCACGACAGTGATCTGATTCCTAGAGATTTGATAGTTCTAGAAACATCCTCATTGAAGTTATAGCTTTCTCACTGACAGACTTAATTAAATTACCATCAACTTTTTTGGGATAGATACTAAAATTTTATTACTAATGACCTAAAAAGAGGACATTTGCCCAGTGATCTTTATATTGACTAACAAAACAGTGTTCCATAACCTTAACATTTTTAATTCAAATTTTTGTCATAGTCCTCATTTCTTTAAATACATCATCAATACGTTCCTTTCGTCTGAAAATACAGTTAGCTCTTAGCTTTTGATTGTGTGTTGACCCACTGTTATTGCTGTTTTTGTCATATACCCACAAAGCAGATACAGGGTTGTATTTGGAATGTAGATTTCCTTTCCCTTCCTACAAAGAGAAAGAGAGAGAGAGAGAGAGAGAGAGAGAGAGAGAGAGAGAGAGAGAGAGAGAGAGAGAGAAGGCATTCTCCACTGTTGCTGGCAGTCTGGGACTATCTCAGTGACAGTCAGCGTCTGCTGTCTACTATTTATCATTATTTTAACTTGTGTTTTTTGAACATATTAAAATCTCTCATAAATATGTCTCTGATTATTTCTGTTTAAATATTTGAGAAGTGTTACACATTTTAGAGTTGGAAGGGCAGTGGGTAATTTCATCTAGTGGACAAGAAGTTAAATGACTTGTTCAAATCTTCACAGCCCATGAGCTCAGACTAGCCATCCATCTAGGTTATTAGAAAAATTCACTGGAATAGATTGCATGGTGCATCATTCTGTTCTAGCTAAGAAGGGTCAGTGACTCTTTTAAACTTTAAGTTCACAAAAGTAACTCATCTTCTTTCAATAATTATATTTAAATTCTTAAACTATATGTTTCCTAGCACACAAATAGTGCATTCTTGGTTATAATCTTGTGTCCAAGTTGTGATTCCTTTCTCATCCTCACCTAGACCATCACACACCCATCCCCACCTCACCTAGACCATCACACACCCATCCCCACCTCACCTAGACCATCACACACCCATCCCCATCCTTCCCTAGACCATCACACACCCATCCCCATCCTTCCCTAGACCATCACACACCCATCCCCATCCTTCCCTACCTAGACCATCACACACCCACCCCATCCTTCCCTAGACCATCACACACCCATCCCCATCCTTCCCTAGACCATCACACACCCACCCCATCCCCACCTAGACCATCACACACCCATCCCCACCTCACCTAGACCATCACACACCCATCCCCACCTCACCTAGACCATCACACACCCATCCCCACCTCACCTAGACCATCACACACCCATCCTCACCTAGACCATCACACACCCACCCCCCACCTCACCTAGACCATCGCACACCCACCCCCATCCTCACCTAGACCATCATACACCCATCCCCACCTCACTTAGACCATCATACACCCATCCCCACCTCACCTAGACCATCATACACCCATCCCCGCCTCACCTAGACCATCACACACCCATCCCCAAATTAAGACTCAAAAGGACTGTGCACTTCTAACTTCACTTTGAATTCTTAGATCTAACTATTTTATAGTCTAAATGTGTAAAATTACCAATCTATATAGCATCTATATAAACATGTGAACCATGGGCATTTATCAAAGAATTTGAAGTCACCTACATAATTAATACAGAGGCAAAATTTAAATATTATCTATTTTAGGGGGTCTTTAGAGCTTTAAAATTATTCCCAGATACTTACAATACTTAAAGTAAATAGAAACCTAAAGGCAGTCTTGTGTATATGTTGTCATTACATGTAGTCACTCATGCTATGCATAGTGCTATGATGAAAGCCTACATTCTTATAAAAGAAATGGTAAATTTATCATGGTGAAATGAAGTCATAATGTTTCTGTGTGTCACTTGAATAACTTCCAGGGTTAGTCATGCCTATTTAGCTTGATAAGAAATTGTTTAACCACACATTTGCATGCAATTTAAAATCATTTCCAAAGAACATTATTTTTCACATGTACAAAAAGGGAAGAAGGAAGGAAGGAAGGAAGAAAGGAAGGAAGAAAGGAAGGAAGGAAGAAAAAACATTGGTCCAGCTAGCCTTCATTCCCAAGGAAGGAGTTGTTCTTTGATTTTTCAGAATCCAATGGAATTGAACATTCTACTACAAACATATGTACATATGTATTTATGTAAACAAACCTACATAAGTAAATGCATTGCTGTCCAAATAAAATTAGACATAGGGAGCACATGCATCCTAATTACAAAGCTTTTATTTCAGACATTAATATTTTTACTGATTTATTTTATTTGGTGATTTATTTAAATGCTTCAAGTTAATTTCATTTATGGGTTGTTAAATGACATCACTCTCAGGACTGTGAGAGCTTTATATTTTAAAATCTTACATGGATGACCTTTTTCCCCTTATGTTTTGACCTTTCTAGCTTGTCATTGAGTTCCTTTCCAAGAATATGAATTGGAAAGAGAACATGAATTGGAAAAGAATCACTTTGGAAGTGAATTATAATTGGCAAAACTGATTATCTTCCCTGAATGAGATTGCTTGAGATAGAAAGAGACAGACTGTGTCTATCACAGCACAAATGGGTTTGGATGTACTTATGAGACAATCACAATGAAATGCTTTTTCAGTGTGTGGTGCTGAGGATAAAATTAAATTCTACATTTTGTCTTTTTCCTCCCTATCTGTTCTGTGACATGTGGTACTGGGAAGAAATGGCCAAAGTCTATTTTCCCCTTGTTGTCATAATGGGCTTTCTGTTTACCTGTCAGAGTTCAGAGTGAATCAGTAAGCACTTTCCATAATTAGTTCCATTGCTCTAGAAATATTATCAAAGCTTTCTTCTTAATGGAAAATGACTAAACCCCATAAACACAAATATTAATACTGCCATAAATTGTTAGATTTAATTACCTAGGATTAAATACAAAGACTTTGCTTTCTAATGTCTGGCTAAGCAGATAAACAGTGTTGCCTCATGCCTGGAACACCTTTCAGGGCACAACTTCCGGGTGCTGAAATCAGGCATGCCTTTTCCTGATAACTACCAACCACAAGCCTCAGGCTTTGGAGAATTGGGACCTCACCCCTTCATTTGTCACACATGGAACAAGTACCTGACAATGAACAGTGTCAACATGAGAATGTCATCTGAGTACATGTGTGGTCTGAGTCACCACCCCTCATCCCTCACCATTTTATTACCAATGCTTATATTTACTGTGGGGGTTTTTGTCCAAATCTTGTCACCTGAATCTACCACATTTTAGATACTCTGTAAAACAGGCAGAACCAGCTAGGATCCAAAAAGAAAAACATCCTTAAAATATTTTTAATAATTTGTTCATGACAATTAGGAGATTGTCAGTGAGGAATATACCATTCACATTATAATATTCTGGGGGCATTTTATTTAAGGATTGACTGTGAAGAACATGTGAACAGTTTCTTTTTTGGCCTTTTTTTGAGACAGGGTTTCTCTACATAGCCTTGCTTTCCTGGAACTCCCTCTGTAGACCAGGCTGGCCTTGAACTCACAGAGATCTGCCTGCCTCTGCCTCCCAAATGCTGGGGTTAAAGGCATGTGCTGCCACCACCTGGCCATGAGCAGTCTTACTCTTGGAAACAGAAGAAGAAAAAAAATGAGTGGGTTGTATGGTATGGGTTGTGTAGATGGATAAGAGAAGTG